TTCACGTGCCAAGACTCTCAATCCTGATTGATGCTCGAGACCGAAACTTGGCATGTTCTGAGATTTGCTGCCTGAATGCTCAGCACGAACCAAAATCATATCCTCGGTAGTGAATTATAAGGGAACGTATACAGATTCATACCAGTATGGTATGACTAAAGGAAGTGCAGCTAGATATGGTGGGATGCTGTAGTAATGAATGCAAACCGTCTTCAGCTACGCATATTTATGCGCTGCGGCAACCTGTTTTTCTTGAAATCAAAGAAAGCTTAGAAAGAACTTCCATGTGTATGTGTATTGGAGACGCATTAAAAATTAATTCAAAATTGCTTGTACTTGAGATATTGATGGAAAAATTAATTATGCAAATCAGGTAATTAAATATGAACAGATTTGAGTGTAAAACTAATAAGGTCTGTGCAATGTAACAGACCATTTATGTACCATTGAAATGTGAACATATAAATTATGCTAATTAGGGAAATAATATGAACAGATTTTAACCCACAAATAATCAGGTTTGCACATTGTCCTAGAGCATCTACGTACCAAGTTTCAATGAAATGGAAAAATTAGTACTGTAGATATCAGTATGAAAGATTAAAATTGATTTAATTATGCAAATTAATATGTAGAGATTTTAACCCAAAATTAATCAGGTCTGTCTATTGTCTTAGAGCATTTATGTACCAAATGTTATTGAAATGTGATAGTACTTGAGATATCGTGTGAAAGTTGAAAATTGGTTAATTAATTTACCCCAAAACTAATCAGGTCTCTGCATAGGCCAACAGCATTTATGTCCCAAGTGTCATTGAAATGTGTGGTTACTACTTGAGAAATGTGGAAAAGCTGAAAATTAACTAATTATGCAAATTAGGTGATTAATATACACAAATATTCACCCCAAAACTAATAGGGTCCCTGAATATGCTAGAGGATCTATGTACCAAGTTTCATTAAAATATGATTATTAGTTGAGATATCAGTGGAAAAGCTGAAAATTAACTAATTATGCAAATTAGGTGATTAATATGCACAAATATTTACTCCAAAACAATCAATCTCTGCATAGTCCTAGAGTGTACAAAGTTTAATTGGAATGTGAAGATTACGATGATATCAAAGCTGAAAATTAATTAGGTAATTAATGTGTACTGATATTACCCCAAAAAATATCAGGTCTGTGCAGTGTCCTATGACATCTATGTACCAAGGTTCATTGAAATGTGATTTGAGATATCAGTGGGAAAAGCCAAAAATTGACTAATAATTATGCAAATTAGCTAATTAAAATGCACGGATTTTTACCCAAAACTAATCAAATCTGCGCATTAGTTCAAATCATCTATGTACCAAGGTTCTTCAGATATCAGTGGAACAGCTAAAAAATTAGCTACCGGGTAATTATCATTCAAATTACGTAATTAATGTCCATGGATTTTTACCAAAACCTGATCAAATCTGCGCATTGGCCCAGAGCATCCATGTACCAAGTTTCATCAAAATTTGATTAGTGGTTCTTGAGATAACAGCGGAACAAAAAAGTGACATGCATACATACAGACAGGGTAGCTGCAAAGACTCCCTTTTGTGTTTCTCACACGGAGTCAAAAATAATTATTTTTCAAATCTTCTTTGCCGTTCATATGTACAATGACTCGTAATAAATGCCATAACAGCAAATGGATATAATTTCAATATAGCGATTATTATCATAATTTTCCATGTTTTGGTCAAATAACAGAACAACACGATCCAAGTGGGTCTCGACTAACGTGAATGCAACTACTATAATCCCTCTGCAAACGGATTAAAAATTTTGGCTCGTGCCAAGATCTCGTAACGTGAACATAGCAAAAGTCTGATAAAGAGTTTCTAGTAGAATACACAAAACAAGTGAACATCAATGTGTACTCAAAAATGACTTGCCATACAACATAAACTCTCACACAACCATCAAACACTCTGTAAGTTTTACAAACATTCATTGTGTGTTTTAATCATATTATTCACAATTATATACTCTATAATTTCATATAATCATACAATCTTTATTATTGTACTTTTAATAATGAATAAACGTGTTAGTATACAAGATGTGTGAAAGTCAATGGTGGCTCAACCATCATTTACAAAATCTAGTTGAACTTTAGAGATGTCCATTATCTTGAATCACTGTTTACTGAACATCTACTAAATGGGTTGATATGGTCAATATAAGCTGGGCCAGAGAATACCACAGATATTCTTCTAGTAAACCATGGATCACATTAATGAGGAGGTGAAGGCATGTAATAAAATGTACAAAGCTCTCTAATTTATGAAATCAACCTCAGATGTTAATGGCTGCTGAGATCTCATTGATCTCAATCTCAATGAGATCTCAGCAGCTTGTATCTGAGTTTGATTGAAACAGCTCTGCAAAAGTTTTCACAAATCTGCACAACATTTGAGGCTACCTAAACAAAGTTTTCTTATATTTGGTACAGGGAACTTTATTTTTATTTTTTAATCGTCTGACTGCTTCTCTGATGTGTTTTGGTTGAAGTGGTCCACTCTCTTGCCATATTTCCATTACATCAAGTGCTGTAAATAAATGGTAATGGTAGTGTGAAATATAGAAGAATGGTACTTACTTTCATCTTATGTAAGACGATTCTCTTTCATCAAAAAAAGCAAGCTTCAAATAATGTGGTCTTGAGAATTGCTTGTATAATCATAGTCAATTGACCTGTGACTAACTCATCATTTCTCCAAGCAACTATTCTCATATGCCTCAATAAATTATCCAAAATATGCACCAAGGCACTTTAGTTAACATCATCCGAACCAATGTCTTGATATGACTAATTTATTGCAATTATGGATGTACACTCTTGAGTCAGCTACATAATGCGCAAACACTACTAATAGAGCAATTACGACAAAGCATTTATACGAGTCTCACCTTCCTCAACAATTTCTCCCACATACACTTTAGCAATTCCAGCCATTGCTATGACAACATTCTGAGACACTGAGGTTCCTATTATTGACTGCATCAGCTGTGAATAAACAATTAGCAATTAACACCTGTGAATAACATCTGTCAATACCAGTCCCTTCTTTAAATTATCAAGATGAATGTTCATGCTCTGTAATGTTACAAATATAAAAGTACATCGTATTTTTTTCATGAAGGAATTCTTGGAAATTTGGAAATGCTGTTCTCCATGAAAAAAATTACTTTCAGTTCAAACAGTACCAAAACCAAATGATGATGAGTAGCCTCCTGCATAGTCTTTCCTAGAAGATTTTAGAGACCAGATTTTAATACCATTCACATACAAATGTACTTTAGAAATTACTAGTCATGAAGCCATGTTACTTTAAACCACAGTCCCCCAAACTTATTAAACTGATAGTAAAGTTTTATATTATATGTACTCTCAAATTTATTTATATATAAATTACCAAAAATGTGGGAAAGCTACTTTTATTGCTAGAATGTGCAACCAAATTGTTTCCCACATACTGATATTGTACCGTTACAACAGAGAGGACAGTATAATGTGCGGAATATTATTTCTTGTACATGCTGACTTTAGGAAGCTTGTCATGCAGTCATACCAATGTAAGGTACCATGTAACCGTTTCTTGTATTTTTTTACTGCGGGAATGTACATGACCATTTCTTGTATGTGGGAATGTTTAGCATGCAATGCAATGCAAGCCAAAGGGAGCTAACTAACTGTTTCATGAATGCGTTAAGTGTGTGAAGGCTTTACGTACATATGTCTTGAAAGGGTGCATGCTGCACAATTAAGTATTGATAATTTGTGTATTAACCTGCATCTCCAAACTAGCGATATACATGCAATGGACATTATTCTGTCCTTCATTGTATCACAAGTTTTCTAATATATATAGTCTAGTACAAGGTAAGGGAATGCAAACTTATTTAACAATGTGTTGTTACTTATCAGCATTCTGTGTCCTTGTTATGGTTTCTTTTTACTTTGAAATGAGTTTTGTACCACATTTTTGAAACTTGCATCAAGAGCTATGTTGTTAAATAAAATAAATACTTACTCGCTTTATAACAGCTTTTGGAAAAGACGACCTTCTGTACATTTCATATCGATTTAACTGTTCTTCTGAGAACGCAGAAACTAAAGTGCTATAAGAAACATATGGCAAAATTCAAAACAAAATCTTTTACAAAATGAGAGAATGATCATATCATACGAGATAAATATATTATTCGAACGACGTAAAACTAAAATACAAAATGACAAAAGATTAGTAACACCTTGTTATGAAATACCCTGAAAATTGAAAGCTTTTTTTCCATACTTTTTTCATTTTAGTTTTTTTTTTTTACTGTCTATGCACATAATGTTTGTTTGCTTGAGCACTGACGGGGTCGTCAGTTTGTGTGCTCCCTGTGGTTATGACAACAACTATGCACACAACACAAGAACGGCAAACATAGATAGCATTAGGTTTTGGAAATGCTCTCCAATTCTTCTATCGAACGGCATTTTTGCACATTTTGTACTTACTGCATTTTCTGCCGTTCTTCTCTGCGCTGTTCTTCTTTAAGTCTATGATGCTCCCTCTCTTTCTCTTCGCTCGTGCTTTCCCCTCTTTCTGTGCATTGTTTCTTAGTTGGACTTTCCACGTCATCTGATTCCTTGGTTTCAGTCTCTGGTTCAGTTGGGTCTCTTTTTCGTTTCGACGTCGAGCTGCCGTCTTCGCCATTGCTATCGACGTTTGTCTCCGGCCTTGAGTCAGACACTGGTTCAGCGATTCCCACGTTTTTCTGTTCTATTTCGGAGGAGTCTACGACTGGTGGTACATTATCTTTACGATCTGGGGACTCTGTTGTATCCATGTTCTTGCTTTCGTCATGTGTGTTCCATTACTTATCCTGATATATTTTCTCACACCTAAACAAGCACAACGAAGCTGCCGTTATCGTCGGTTTCATATTCGGATTCGAGGTGTCAGAAAGAAATCTTTATGTGACGTCACACACGAATGGTTGTGCGATCAACAACTCTGAATATAAGGTTGACCCAGTCGTATTGTTTTATATGTTAATTTCTTTTTTTAATCATGGTCCGACGCAAAATTACAAACAGACATTTTACAAATTCGTTATTCAATGAATTATTTTTATCACAGTCCCTCTATCATAGAGGGACTGTGTTTTTATTATCCTGAAATTGTGTCCAAATTGGTATCGAAGGGTATCGAAGGAGTCGCCGGCAGTAATTTAGTGCAAGTGGTGCCTGGCACTGCAAAACTCGTACTCCTGATTTTATTAGAAAAGCGCATTGGATTGTGGGAAAATCAATCAACACAGATGTCGCACATGCGCGGAGCGACGACTGCCGCCTTTTAAGATAAACTGAAAGCCACCTCATTTTTTACTAGCTCCTTAGGACAAGCATGTTTTATCGTAATTTAAAACCCAATTTTCAGACTTCAGATTTTGCCGCTTACACGTTAGATTGGCCCGAAATGATCAGACACGTATTCTATTGCAGTCAATAAGCGCCAAGTCAGCGCCTGTAATGGCTATCGACGTATGATAATAATAATAACTTTATTACACAACCAAAACCATCAGTGGGTTTAATAAGGCAAATAACAAAAGACTGAAAAAAATAAATAAAAATAACTAAATTTTAGTAAAAAAAAAATAATAGCACAAAATAGAATGTTCAATCGCGTTCCAACCCAGAAAACCGCTAATATTTGCTAACCGTTGCACAATGTGTTTGTGGAGCTTGTTTGGATATGTCAGCAATAAACAGAGATCTTACAAAGACAGTGTTTCATAGCACGTGTTTTAATATACGAGTAAATGCTTAAACCAGCTGCCTCAGAAAATACAAATTAACCTATGTTTCTATGTTTCCTTTAAATTTGAGTGTCTTATTTGATTTTTCCTGTATTATTAGTAATTTTTTATGTCTTCAAAATGTATTACTTTATTGTACTTTTCATCAAAACCTCAAATATGGGATTGGATAGCAATAAAGATTCTATTCTATTCTATTCTATTCTATTCTATTCTATTCTATTCTATTCTATTCTATTCTATTCTATTCCATTCTATTCTATTTTACTCTTATCTCAAGTTCGAAGTTGGTGTTATGTGTACACACTTGCCAATTATATACAATGATTCGAAAAGCTGAACCCGAAGCCGGAACTAACTTGAAAACCTTTTGTTTGATTGCTGGTGTTTATTTTCTCAAACTATTTATTATTGATTCTCTTCTCACCGAGTTTATTATTTATTATATCGAGTGATTTTAAACTACGCTTTATACTTTACCTTAGACCGTCTATGGCTAAGCACATATCAGGTTTCTGATAATCTGGATTTGTCATTCTAAACTATGGTAAGTCAGCGATAAGTTTGGGGAAACCCAGCATTTGCATACCAATGATAGAACTGACCCATGACGTCGTCCGATATCTAAAAATAGACGTGTCGTGATACAAAAACATCGTGATTGCAAAACGACCGGGCAAAGACTCACAATACACCAAGGGCGTAGCATCACTTGCAGCAATGGGCAACAAATCCATATCCAAACAGTTGTTTTCTCTAATGAGAAATATTACGAGTTTGAGCAATGGACAAGCTTCAGTGTCAGATTATGCCGATTGCATGACGGAAATGACAATTATAATATCACCAAACGACGGTCTTTACCAAGGAGGGCGCTTCAAATTCAAGGTGGGTAAGTTCAGTGAACGTCTTTTGATATTACTGCGCTATATCTAATTAAACACAAACTAAATATTTGTGTTGGGTCATATTGCAGATATGCCATGCGTAGCTGCGGCTCCGTTGTTCTTTGGTGCGACCTACAATAGAATTTCGCCCTAACAATTTCATTTTCTTCTATTTAATTTAGTTGTTGTATGTCGAACCTATGGGCCTG